ATAAGGAAGGCTGAGCGCCAAAGAATTGAGGCCTTTGAATTGTGCTGCTGGCGGAGAATCCTGCAAGTCCCTTGGACAGCAAGGCGATCAAACCGGTCAGTCCTAGAGGAGATCAACCCAGACTGCTCTTTAGAAGGCCAGATCCTGAAGATGAAACTCAAATACTTTGGCCACCTAATGAGAAGGAAGGACTCCCTGGAGAAGAGCCTAATGCTGGGATCAATAGATGGCAAAAGAAGAAGGGGACAGCAGAGGATGAGGTGGCTGGATGGAGTCACTGAAGCAGTTGGTGTGAGCTTAAGTGGACTCTGGGGGATGGTGGAGGACAGAAAGGCCTGGAGGAATGTTGTCCATGGGGTTGTGTTGGGTCAGACACAACTTCGTGACTAACAACAACAACAACAACAACCTAAATCTGGGTTGTTGCAACTTGAGTTGATTATTCCATGTCCTACTCTCTGGTATCAGCAAGAAGAGATCTTGACCTTCCTCTTTGTGAAAGCCTTTGTGCTTGGAGAATCTTCTTTTTAAGATTTCCCACCGCTCTTGGACTCTCTTTCCCCTTACAGTGAGTTGCCATTGCACTTTGCTTATCATTGTTCGGAGTTCTTCAGAGTTGGCTTTCTTGAAGTCCAGGATACTTGTTTGGCTGCAGATAACCTTTGTCTCCTTTATTATTGAGAATTCAAGTATCACATGGTCACTTTCCCCCAGAGTTCCCATGGCTTCTATTTTGTCCACCAGGCCATCCCTGTTAGTATCAATTTGATGATAGCTGATTCTCTGATTCCTTGCTGTACCTTCTGCTGGAAGGAGTTGTCAGCAGCGCATGTCTCTTGGGGTGGCCATGTTTGGCAGAAATTGTCTCCCAGCATATATCAGGGAAATTGAAGTCCCCCATGATGACTATATTGTTCTTGGAAATGCTGGCAGGTTGCTTTTTGAAGGTTGTATCCTTGCCCTCTTTTTGACTGGGTGGTCCTTAATAGATACCAATAACTATGTTTTTCTTATTTTTTGTTCCCTTTAAATTAAGCCAGATGCTTTCAATAGGGCTGCTCAGTTCCTCTTCTTGTATTTCTGTGCAGATATATGTGTTTCTCACATAGTGTAACTCCACCTCCCTTTTTGTCCTTTCTACCTTTTCTTGAACAGGTTGTATCCATCAATAGTTCCAGTCGTGTGTCATCTCACCAAGTTTCAGTTATTCCTATAAGATCGTAATTGCCTTCATGTACAAATTTGTGTTGTTTTTTTCCTATACTCTGGGCATTGCTGTTGAGATATCAAAGTTCATTCTCATGGTGCCCTGGTTTTCTTCCTACATTTTTGGGGAGACTGGTACTGAGCCCTGCTTGAGTTTTTTTCTCTGTTAAAATATATATGTCTTTGTCAGGTGATGGTATGCCATGCTGCACAACTCTGTCCCTTATATGTTTTAGTTTAAAGCCCTCCTGATGAATTTTTTCATGTAGTGGCCAAACACATGCTTTCTGTTCTTTGTGAGATGCAGCTCCTCATT